CCGAGTTTTTGTGCAACGACTTTTACCGAATGCTGCAAAGTTAGATTCTGGGCTTCAGGAATTCCGATAATTTCAATTTCATTATTCGCATAAGACTGCCTTTGATTATGTAATTCGTCCTCTAAACGAGCAACGGTTGCTTTAAGATTTGTTAATTCATAATCTCGCTGTTCCAATACTTTTATCCGTTTGTCAGTGGTTTTAAGTGAAGCGACAATTTCGTCCAGACGAGAATGGCAGAAACAAATAGACTTGGTCACATCCTCTAGTTGTAATTTAAGAGAGGATATTTCCTTTGTCAGATTGCGTAGCTCACTCGTAAACCCTGCTAACTCGGAGCCGGTTTTTGGAAGCCCGCTGCAATCGGGGCATTTCCAAGTCTTTTTCTTCTCAGCTGAATTAGCCAGCGGAACACATAGAGTGCAAAAACATTTATCGCAAGTAATTGAAGTGCATTTGGTAACATTAGCTTCTTTCGTAGTTTTCAAACATTTCGCGCACTTCATAGTGTAAGTATTTAAGGCGAACACTTTTGTGAATAAGAGTATCGTAAGCAACAAAACCTTTGTATTAACGCAAATGGAATACAAGTATTTAACACTGAGTCACGGAATATAGTTCTGAGTGCCAGTGGACGCGAAATTCACGGTTATGCAGTGGGCGTAACCGCGAGAGTTGCTTGAGCGCGCGCTTAGCAATGCACACGCGTCGACCGATGATTTTTCAAATGTTGTTTTTAAACGTATTTAAGAGATATTCACTATTAATTCATATAACAACGTGTTACACGAACCAATCACCACAATTTGTTAAAACTTTGAAACGATAATATAGGCAAAAAACAATATTTTGTAATTAAAAACTCGGAGCAACGTGAACTTTGTTTACGCGCCGGAGGGTAGGCCCTTTGCCTTTGTTTCTTGACGCATTTAAACTTAATGTTTTTTTTTATTATAAACATTAAAATTGTTGAGTTGGGAAGCCGCATGTATGCGCATTACAGCGCCACTCAAGTGCGATACAAGAAATAGGAGCACAGCTGAGGCTCACATATCGGGAAACCCTACAGCCTGTGAACTGCGTGTCGTCGACTTCGGTGTCGCTTTTATAGCTCGTCTTAATATCGTTGTCATCTCTATATTTAATACAATAAGTCAAATGTGAATTACTGATAACATATTACTATAGGTACCTAGTTAACTTACAAACATAAGCACAACAAATCTCTGTCGTCGGTAATATATATAATGTCCTTTAAAAAAAAAGAACTAAAAATAATAAAAATAAACAAATATTCGTCAAGAAGATTCAAACGGGCCCAAAGTTCGTGAGGTTGTGTCGTTTCATTGCGAAGTTTCCATGAGCACCTTCCAGCTCCATCATCAGACCAAAACTGTATCATAATAATAAAACACTGACACACGATTTATACATTCAGCAAAATTTCAGCTCAACCCATAACCAGGAAGTGAATCAAATTTTATTTACAACATTGGATAACAAACATCGTGACCGTTGAAACTAATTAAACGCGTGTAATAAAAATGATTGTAGTATTTTAATATACTAAGTGCGATGAATTATATCATAAAAATAACATTTTTTTATTCTGTATAAAAATTATGTAATTGTTACATAACAAGCAAAGATGCATTACGTTCCCACGGTCTGCGGACGGATTATACCGAATGCCCTTTTGGTGCTTCGCCTTTACACTGACCTGCGCTTTTTACACAAAAAGAAGCTGATAAATCACGGCTTCATTGTGTACGAGATCGGGATATCGTTCCCTGATATTACCTTGTACTTGTACAAGCTACAGTTTTTTGCGGATGTCGATCGGATACGATGTCCAATAATGCAGGTACCTGCTCAATTTGAGCGGTCAAGGTGCCGCATGTCACAATATGGACCCAAGATAACATCGATATTCTGATACAAGGACTTATCGACTATCAAATGCTCAGTTCCGTGGAAAATTCAGGTAGTCGCTCTTGAACAAGTTGATAAGGATGTTCGTATCGAACTCGACTCGTATTTGGATACTTTTTAGATGTTATGATAAATATTTACACTGATATTTGATATAGATTTTATCTCTAATGTGACTTAAAAAGTGATGGTCACAATTTGATTTTACGGTATGGAAGTTAAACGAAATAAATTGTGCACTCTGAATCAGGCAACTATTCTCTATGCATGTATTTTTTGCAAGTTTGCATTTAAAACATTCAACTCTACATACGTTTTAAAAATATGTAAGTACAATATAAATTTAAATAAATTAAAATGATTTATATACCTTTATTATTTAATTAAGATCGAATGACTTATCATTAGATCTTAATTGCACAACCATATAACTGTCAATGAGGTACACAATGAGGAAATTAGCTCATTAACTCCGTGCATAAACTTATTGTATAAATTAACATAAGTTATAAACATAATTTTTATTTGAGGAAAAATACTAACCAATCTATATTCCTTTTTACGTTCGAATTTAAATTAATAAAACTGTTTTAAGAGTGTTTAAAGCAATCAATTAGTCGTTCGCTAAATCGATGAAGCGTGAATGTGAACGGTTGCTTGGATAAATTGAGTGTAATAAAGAGGGGTTGTTGCGCGGGCGCAGGGCAGTTACAGGTGCGCCGCGCGTGCAGTCGGGCCCGGCCCGGCTGCCATGTGACGCCGGCTAATTGCCCCTAATTGCGATAGCGTGAGGATGTGCTGTAGAAATATAGTCACTTCACAACATTCAATGGATATTATTACTAAGTACTTGCAAATTAAACGTGTAAACATGTTTATAAAATCATGTAAAATTTTCGTTGGCCTATCGCATAAATTGGATTCATTATTTAAGAAATATTTGACAACTAGAATTTACAAAAATAAATTATGCCTAATGTCAAAGTTCAAACTGATAATATATTTAAATAAGCCTTTGTTTTTTTATTGTAGTGAAGACTGGAAACAACTTAAAATTTAAACAGAAATATGTTCTAAATAAAGTAAAAAATACCAATAAAACACAAATGTTAAGGAATAACTAAAGATTTATTTACATCTATCACAATAATTGGATTTGAAATTTTCTCGTTACATAAGTATAATTTCCGCTTAAAAATAAATAACATGTACTTTGAATTAAATCAAAAACATTGCAACTTACAACTAAACAAATGCATAATAAGCAATCAGGGTTCCGCAAAGACATATCACACTTTAAAAATGGTAGTCCAAAATACAAATGCAATTCTGGCGTAATTATTTGACCCTGTTAATCGCGAAATAATACTAACGTGCGATGAAACTTATTACACTACTATTATTATTGTTAAAAAATACAAATTGAAATGAGTCAATGTGGTGATGACATTTTGATAGAGTACATTCTGGAATCAATCAAACACGTTTATATTCTTAACATTTAAGTTTCAAACTCGAGAATTTAACTTGATTTATCAGGATGTAATAATTAACAGTAAATTGATGTAATTAAGTTACGATTTTCATATTGTAAGTATTTTACATAAACGCGTAAATTATATTTAATTATTATTGCACATTTTATAATATCTTAACTCAACTTAATGAAAAATTTAATTTGTTTCTTTTTGAATGAACGTTTTGAACTTATTGAAATTTAAAATGCGACAGTAAACTTCTACGTTATATTCCTGCTTATATTGCGATATCTGCTAAGTTAGAATATTAAAATTAAATGACATTATTAAATGTTTGTAAGTATTGATTCTTAGGCATTACTATTTGGTTATTATCGTTGACTTTTATAATTTGAAATGCTAACACAAAATTATTTGTCGAAAGCTCACACGAAGATGAATATCTCCTTTAAAATAAAATATCTCCTTTAAGCAACTTCCTTATTAAAGACATCAACGTCGCTACAACTACGAACAACTTACAAGTTGAGTCTGTATGTTGTTTTAATATTGCGTATTGTTTATGATATAAGAGCTCCTTGAGAATGAGGTTTTATGTGTACGGGGTGTGCGGCGTGGGGATGAGTGGGGTTGGCTCCGTGGGGTGGCTGTCGTGACTGGTGGAAGCGCTGCGCATGTACGTGGGAATGCGCGCGCAGTTCCTCCCCGTGCTCACGGTAGGCGCGCTGCTTATCTTCAAAGTCCCTAAGCCTCTGGTTATAACGTTCAATCTGGTCTCTCAAAGCCGCATCTTCGATAGCAGCCCTCTCCTCGTCCAGCTCCAAGCACCCGATCCCCTCAAGCTTCTCCAAATCGATCGAGCCCCGCCATCGGACGCAGACACCATTCATTATAAATCGAGACACGATGTGTACCTGATGACAAAAAAGGGCAACGTTACATTTAAAATGAATGAACCTTTCTCTGAATTTGATACAAAAAAATTAAAACAAAAAACGCAACGTTGTAGGTGGCACGCTCTGGTGTACGAATGTGTCCATCGATCACATGTTGCGCAGAGCAGAGCACATGCTCACACAATAATTAGCATAATAAACGTCCCGGGCTTAACAACTATACCACGTAACAAATTAACATTCTAAAACTATCTCAGATATTACATTGAAACAATTTGTGTACGTTTTAACCAGGAACACTATATTTATTTCTTCTTAAATTCATGAAATCAAATTTAAATAGAAATAGTTTGAATTAGTTCGATTTAGTAAATATTGAACTTTCTAACACATTTTAAAGTTGTAAATCCATATTAAACCATGAAACGAGTTTTAAAATACTTTATGAGGAGCTTTTGCACGACTATCTCCTCGCAGCATTAAAAAAAATATTAGAACTTAAGTAGCCTATGGGTTCTTCCAGACACTGATCTATATCTATACCAAAATATAACTAAGAACTATGCAGCCTTTCTGGAGGTACCTTCAAAAACATCCCTTCAATCTTTCGCATTTATAATATTAATAAGAAGTAAGAATAAACAATAAATAAATAAATAAGTCTAGGTACGCAAAACGATTGTTCCTTAAGTTATCATTATAGCAATTATTCCTGTTATGTATTAAAGGCAGAGCGACATAAGGCAGGCGTAAAACTTGGATCGCGTGCTTGCTTTGTTCCGGCGTCCGGCTCGCGTATAATTGCCTCACACAACAAGGATGCAATTTTATGAAATATCGTATTTTTTTTGCTTTTTAGGATACAGGAATTACACTTGTATTGTAAACTCTTCCATGTGATGACTTTAAGTTTTTTTAACACATTTAAAACATTTTGTTTTTAGTTTGCTGTGAACGTTGCCTCAGAGTTAAGAGTTGTAATAAAGTCGTTATATTAACTAATCTTATCAATAACTAGAAGTTTCACAATACCTTTGTTTGGCATTAAAAAATCTAGTAATAAATATAGCCTTATATCATCCGGAGATAGTGTTGCTTCGAAACAGTGAAATAATTTCAAATCGATTAAGTAATTTCAGAGCATATCCAATACAAACAAGGAAACATAACTTTCACTTTTATCATGTTAGTAGTTAGTATAAACCAGTACTCCATAAACGGTAGGAAAAAGGGACTATCACAAAACTTCAATATTTTAGAGTAAATTGCCAAATACAATGCGTGTGACGACTATTTATTATATGAAACAATGGCAAAAGCTTGGATTGTCAAAGACAAAAATTGCTTCATCATAGAATAAAAATTAGGAAAATTGCATGTGGAAAGGGAGATAGACGGGAGCGACGGCCATGTTTGAAATTCGGGCGTGGCGTCGCGACGCCCTCCAATCCCGAGTGGAGCTTTTCCGTTATTGATTTTACGATAGCTTTTCTCCCTCTCGGATACTAAGGGGGAATTATTTGATTTGTTTTGGAAGAAAATTGTAAAAGAATCCCGTTCAAACAATTGCATATTACTAAAAATCATGGATTATGCTATTTTGACGTACATATTTCTGAAGCCCTGAAATGCAATTTTTTGCTGCAACATTTAAGTTAATTTAGGGTTTCATTTCTTATTGTAATGGTTTGTTTGAGTCACTACAAACATTTTAATAAGAAAAAAAACATAAAATCACAAGTAAACTATTGCACAAAATCATAATATTCTCATTCTCAAGCGTTAGTTCCATTAATTTTGATACATAACATGGCATTGTTGTGAGTTCTTGATGCGTTCAGTTGTAAGTCGAGGGCTCGAGAACACTCGAGTGTGCTGTTAAATGAACCGAATGTAAATAAATATAAGTGTTCATATAAAAACGCAGCGGGTGGGCGCTCGCTAACGAAGGGGCTAAAATTCAATAAAACTGCGTATAAGCTGGTCCTTCAAGTAATACTGATATACGATTACATAATAGCTAAACATAGTAGAAAAATCTTAGGATATTGCCAAAGGATGTCCAGCGAGGGATAGTAGTAAAAAATATTTTGTTATTTTAAAGTTTGTAATAGTAGGAGCAAACGAGCGTTGGGAACACCGAGGTGATCAACGACACCCATGGACATTTGCAACACCAGAGGAACCGCAGATGCGTTGCCGGCCTTTAAGGAAATGGTATGCTCGCTTCTTGAAGGTCCCTAAGTCGTATTGGTTTGGAAATACGGCCGAGGACAGACCGTTCCACAACGCGGCTGTGCGAGGTAAAAAGTTGCGCGTGAATCGCACTGTTGTGGAATGCCAGCCATCCAGGTGGTGTGGATGGAACCTGGCGGTCTGTCGTGTCGTCCTATGACGGAACTCGGCGGCAGGAATCGTTCCAAACAGTTCTTCGGAACACTCCTCATGGTAAATACAGTAAAAAATGCAGAGGGAACTGATGTCCCTCCGCAAGGCCAGGGAATCAAGCCGATCGGTAAGAGCTCGGTCGTTGATGATTCGAGTTAGCTTATATAATATTATATATAGATGTTATACATTTTGTTATAAACTGAAAAGTTATTTGTGTTATCCTTGTAGATTTATAGATATTTTGAACATAGTATTTCGAATAATTTTATATATCTACCATACATTTCTTTCGATTCTCTTTAGCTATTCTCTCTTATCTATTACTGGCTACGGCCATGGAAGTATCAGATGATATTAATATTTAGAACGATACTAGCTATCGCCCGCGACTGCGATGTCGAGTCCATGTCGACTGCTACAAAAATAAAATCATGAAATGACAACCCTATTGGTATACTGGCCTAAAACGTTTAGAAATTAAATCGGTATTAATGCATGAACATATCCCATACCATTCATACGATACATTAGTAACAAAGCGCACGTATAATCGACTGAATAAAAAAGATGTCATTCATTAAAGCAACACGCTATAAAATGACTGCGGAGCGTGACGGGCGCGTTATGTTCTACGACGTTACGGCTTTTTTTTTTCATTAGTGGCCTTAAAGTTATTTATGTCTTAATTTTAGTTATGATAATGTGGACCGGATATAACGAGGCCTGATGTCGTGGCCCCGCGATCTCTGGACATAAATGAATCACGAACACAAACTTTCTTTGATCTGTAATTTTTGCGTTATGATCGCTGTAGAGTTGTGTAAGCAGAGCTCAGTAATATGCAACACATTGCTTTTTTTACGGCATACTAAACAATTAATTATTTTATTAACCTTATTTTTTCCTGCCATGTTTAATTAAATGAATGAAGTAGGCATGTAATAAAGATGATAAGAAATATTTAGGCTATTGCTAAAAGGAATAACATTGTGGTATTATAAAATTATAAATATTATATTACTTCGTGTGTTAAGATTTATAGGTATTTATTATAAAATACTCTCGTTTACATTTATTTTATTGATATTAACACGTTAATTAACACAATTTCCTTTATACGCCATTTTTGTTTGATAAATCATCTGTATTGTATGTTGTTTACATAAATAGTTTATTTGTGTATTTTCCTTGTACCACGCAGCAAAATAATGTAATGTTTGAAAACGAATTTCAGTTGTATAAGTTAAAGATATTTTATCTTATTTGTGACTGACGCGAATTGCACTTATATTCTAAGGATATGTATATATTACTAGAAGTAATTTAATTTGAAAAACGTAAAAAATACAAAATTAGTATTTAAAACATTTTAATTCTTATTACCCGACTGACGAAGGTATTTCGCGCGTATGTAAGTTACATTTTATGTATTTGGGGGTTTGCATTTATGTAAATTCCTGACTGAACCAATGTTGACAAGTTAAGTGTCATGAGATACGTATTCTTCTCCGGAGTGGCAGTCATATAGCACAAAATACATACCGTGGACGTTAGAAATTAAATTGCAAATTAGTAAAAAACGAGTTCGAATCTCACTCTACATAACTTTTTTACGTTGTTTAACTATTTTTTTATGTCTCTGAGAAAATTCTAAAATAAGAAAGTGTTACTTATAATATCAAAGTTCATTTATTTTAAATTAATTGTTTTAAAATATTTTAAGTTTTTGTTTTAGAAGTTAGCCATTAGTTGCCGCGGTTTCATTTATTAGAAACACAATCAATCGGGTTTTTTTGATTTCTAAAAATTAAGATTTTTACAACAACTTAAAGGAAGTAGTTTTTGACAATGCAATTAAATCATTTTATGACTTCAAATTTTCGGAAAATAAATAAAACACTTTTAGGTATTTTTTACAAATTAAGATATTCATCTACTAGAAGGACGTAATAAAGTGTAAGGGATCGCTTCTGAGAAGGGTCCATTAACAATTTATGAGACTAACTAAGAAAAGATATAGGCGTGGCTACTGAATTCGCGCTAACAGTTCGGAGAATTATAGTTTTTTCTGATATAAAGTAGGATTTATGCACCTTGCTGCATTTTTACATTTAAAATATTTCCGATTTACTAACATAATGTGTCTCAAAGAGACAGATAGCAAACAGTACAAGAAATCAATAACTTTTTATCCCGATTACAAATTATAATATAGATTTGAATTTTTAATTAAAAAAATTTATGTGCTCTTTCTTTGCTTGGATCGCCTTATGAAAGACAACACGGTATTGCAAAGACATCATAACAATAACAAGTCAAAAAAAACAAAATCAAAATGTATAAATCTTACTTAAGTCTTATTTCGTTAAAACCCTAAAAAGTACAAAAAGATCAAGAAAAAAAATTGTCATACAATGTAGGTAGTTCAAAATTTGTTTTTCATCGCCTTAGTTGTCTAACACAGTCATTTCTAAAACTAGAGTGTTACACTTACTTTGCCGTTTTCCTTCTGGAAGTCGCACCCTCGGTTGTTATACGGTGAGTGATCGAAGACTAGTTGCAAGTTGGTGCCGGTTGATATAAACGCGATCTCCGTGTGACCCTCGCGGCAGCCGCTGGTGAACCTCATCTGCCGCTCCTCTGGCGGACGGTCACGGTAACCGGTGTACCTCACCTGAACACAAATAGGTAAGAATTATTATAAGCTGGCCTGGGTAAGCGGTCGGCATAAGAGAATCGTACATCTAAATCATAAATGTAGGAAACATTTGACTGTATATTTTTAGAAATAACTATTTTCGTATGATACCTATAACCAAAATAAGGTAAATGGTACAGATATTAGCTAGCTTTTATTTATAGGAACTTAAACATACAAAAAAAATTGGGAAACCATTACTTATTATTTTAAAAACGTTTACAAGATTTAATACTAACTTTTCCTTAAAATCTTAGAACCTTAGCTTGATTCATCGTTTGACCACACTTAAATTACATATTCGCCAACGAGACATATTTATTTCAATAACATTGAATTTTTGTCAATGATTACTTACTAGTATTTAGTAATTAACTAATGGTTATAGGCAAATACCTGTACGGAATTATAATTAATATAATAGTATATGTACTTATGTAGACAGCCAATTGTTTACAATTAAATTAATTAATCAACATTAAATTTCCTCTTTTTGAGCTGACACGTTGCAAGGCGGCGTTTAATGTACCTTTTACCGTTCAAGATTTGGAAATTTGCCGATTAACACGTAATAATTACAAACCTCGCTCTCCCTGCTCAGTCTCTTGAACAAGTCGTCGGATTCGAACTTGGCCTTTTGATCAGGAACTACCCTCGGCATCTTGAAGATGAAACGAGGCTTCGGCTGCTCGTACAGCCCTATCGAGTCGAAGGGTAACATGCCGGCTAGCGCAGCGGGGTCGCCCATGGCGTGCATAACAAATACGCAGTTCTTACACGCAAACAACTACAAACATCACAATACGCACTGACTCAGACGAAACGATGATTCAGTATTCCGAAAAGTGAACGGTTAACACGTCTAACTTACAACAGTGGCATGCGCTTACTGAATGTCCGTCCGTACGATCGCTCCGTGAAGATTTCCATCAGGGCGGAGCTCCCCATGGTGGGGCGGCGGAGCGCCAATCCCGTGAGCCCCGGACACCGCCCCGATCGCCCTTACGCCTTCTTTACACGATTTCGGGAGCTTTCGAGCGTTAAGAGGGTTTTCTCCCCTCGAAACGTATCAAAATAAATACTGTAAACGACAAAGCACATGAATTTATAATGATGGGCATTATGCTCTTTCGGCGTTTCGAGTGTTTTATATATTTGTAACGGAGCCTTTGTTCCTTTTGTAGCGAGATAAATGTACCCTATATGCCTACGATGGGGGAACATAAGGGGAGTCGACCCTGGCAACTGATACAAATCGAATGAAATGCGATATTTTTATCAGGACAGAATATAATAAAAGCATAAATAGGTAGCTCTCTATTGCAACTGTTATTACGCCTGGGTAACATTTAATGACGTTATGAATCCCTCCATTTTATATTTGTTCTTTATAAAATTTAAAAAAATATAAATAATTAGAAAAAAATATAGTGCAAGTTATTAATGTTCTTACGATTTTATTGTGACTCAACGAAATGAAGGAATTTATATGTAATTCAGGTAAGACGTAAGCAGTGCAGGAAATTACTTAATACCCGACTATAACTTTCTATGTGAGTGGCGAGATTTGGAAATTAGCTTTGAAAATTGAAATATCCATTGGAAATAATACACTTTTCAATACAAATATTTCTGTGTAAATTTTCGGATTTTCAAAATTCAGGCAAAAAACATGCGAGATACAGGAAGAAATAATATTCATGAATCGTTTTTACATAAATGTAATATCGATTTATGCCTATTGCTGTAGGCATAACATTCCTACAAAATATTCTTTTTGGTATAAATACTATCACGCGATCACTTAAAAGCACAGCGCGAGCTTTTGTGCCTTGTCGTAAGTAAATTAACAAAAGGCAATGCGAAGTTGAACAAAACTTTTAAAAGGTATCGATGAATGATCGAAGACCGATAACGAGCGCGCCGAGTGTCGGTATTGTTGCGACATCCTATCCTTATGCTGTCACTTAAAGTGATCTATACCAAGTTTTGTTAACAACATCGGATATTTATCCCCATTATCGTAAGTGCAGTAGAATTATGTTATCTCCGAACTTTATCTGTCATTTGCCTTCAGAATTTCGCAGATCAGATGTCATTCGTCTGTTTCAATAAAGTTTTACGCATTTTTTTTAATTTTCAAATTAAAATTAAGTCTAGACTTAAGTTTAATCCGACGGTAATGAAGTAAAAATTGAAATCTAAACTCTCCATCCCTGTAGACAGCAAAGAGCTAACTGAAGAGGATCATTTCAAAAGTTATCAAATGTTTTATCTATTGTTTTATTGTACTAGTTGTCGCCCGCGATTCCGTCCGCGCGAAATTTTAAAAAAAAACTTAGTTAGTAGCCTTAGTTTTCTTCCGGACTATGTTCGCCATCTGTGCCAAATATCAGCGAGATCCATTAAGCTGTTCTGGATATAACTTATAACAAACATCCATCCATCGATCTATCCAACCATTCGCATTTATAATAGATATTAGTAAGTCCATGGGGAAATTAATAAAAAAATGATAATAATGAATTTAGTCAAAGATATCTTTGAAAATCAGCCCAAAATACAAAGCAAACACTTCGTATCACAAAAATTGTATTTTCATGAAGATCACACATACAGTAATCATTCACTTAACACTCCAGGCATTCAATGTGTTAATATTTATGTAAAGTAATATTTTTACAACTGCCTTAAGAGGAAAAAAAACTTTAGTCCCAATGAGGGAAATAATCTTATAGTCTTTGATGTAAAAAATGAAGGCACGTGTCAGTTATGTGGACGTTTGATCTGGGCGCGTTGCGTCCCTGCAGCAAGGACCGCGCACGCGTGTCGACCTGATCGATAACATGTGACGTCTACAAAGCACGTACACATCACGTGCCAATAAACTCATAATATTAAGCTAGCAAAAGTTTGTTTATGAATTTGCAATTTTTAAATTTATAATTAAAAGAAACCACGTTGTTTTGTCAATCACCATTATATTAATACGTAAAGCGAAAACTGTTCCCATTTTGGAGGAAATTACGCAAACAGATAAATCTGTTAGACACAGTTGAAGTCAATTTACGAATAATTGCATAAAGTTATTTTTAATTAAATATTATAAAAATATGTTAAATATATCAAAATATGCCGTCGTTCTAAATAACACCTTAACGTAATCAGGTTCATCATTTTTAAATCACATTTTTTATCGCCTGATATATTTAGATTAGTAGGCAACCAAGCAGTGGGACCCCCAGTGCAAAGACGGTGTCCAACGTCCATGGACATCCGCAACATCAGAGGAACCGCAGATGCGTTGTCAGTCGTGAATTATTCTATGATATTATACGTTTGTCTCTTGCCTAAATGTGTCATAGATAGTGTGTCAATGGTAGTGCAATGAATATTCCCACAGCACTTGCTCCCACGCCCACGCGGACTCTGCTTCGACACAAGATATTGATAAACTTTAAAAACAATGATTTATTTTAACTTTTATTCCTAGTAACGTAATTTTATGAATTTATGAAACATAATAAGAACGTAGTTTTACTAAATGTAATCTAATTTTTATTAACGATAATGAGTTAAATAGTATTATATAATAATTTGTTTTGTTCAAGTTTTGTTTTTATTTCTCTTAAATTAAATTCACCCAGTTTAATGTGAGTTTTTTACAATCGCGAATTTGTTTTCTTACAATTTAAATTTAAATCGAAAATCGTTGTAAAACTAGTGCTGAATTAACTTATCTATTGCATTTACACAAAAACTTAAGTTGAAATAAAGCACTTTACTTATTTTACTTTAAAGTTTACAACTATACTTTCTCTTAAATTACACTATAGTAGAAACTTTAAAATAAAATGTAAAAGTTTCACTATTGAATTGAGTACAAAGATTTGGGCAATAACCGTTTATAAAGTTTTAGGAATTGCTATTCGGCAATTGTAAATTCCGTTGTTACAATTTTCGAAGCGTATTGTTTATACAAAAGAAGAGTAAACAGGCCCATTGCAATTCTCACCTCGGGGCTACACTGGTTATAATGTTTACGAGTCGTCATAAATCACAGCATTGTTAGAAACTAGTTCATTTCCATATTTGTTCAGCGACAATGACCGTGCCGACGTTTTATTAATTGATTCATAAACCTTTTCATAGCGACGCGGCAAAAACTATCCATTGACCCCTAAATAAAACAATAAAAGCGAGCATTGTAAGGGTTACAACATATTCCCATTAGCGTATTTAATGTAAGCCATTTTTGGCCAGCAGGCACATTTAGACCTTTTTTGTAAAAAAATGTTGGTAAAATGTTAATAATTTTCATATTACGAATATGCTGTATTAACTAAATATTAGATTAACCCTCTTTTAAATTGATTAAATATTGTAAGAACATCATCCTGATATAAAAAAAGAAGAATTATATTTATTTTACAATAATTAATACAAATAATAATCTGATATTTCCCCATCAAATACCTTAGACTACTGAAGAGTACAGTAAATTAATCGTACGATAAAACACCTGCTAATATTCAAATGTGATTGCAGAACCGTATGCTTGAAAAATGTGTTAAAAATGCTATAAAAAATTGGAAACATCAATAATTTATAGCAGAATTTGTGTATTCACCTACATTAAATGAATAATTAATTAGCATATCTGTCTTTTCACACTTGTAACTGTTTTTAGTGCGTCATATTTTCGTTAAGTATTGGTTAGCGAGTGTTCGTGAATCATGTTAAATATGAAGGTTTTAGTGACTTCATTTGACGAGGAGCAAGGTAACCGCGCCGGTGCTCGTAAACGCTCAAAGGGACCGTCTCGTTGTTTATGCGAATGATTCCGGTCAACGCTTTGTCTTTTGCCGCGCGGCCTTCGGACGACACCCTAATAAAAGGCGTGGCAAAAAAATGCCCTAATGGCTGTTGATCCTATTTCAAAGCAATAAAATGCAACAAAATTAGCTTTTGTTAAATTTAGAACAGTAAACGTCCGAAGTTCTGCCGTATTCAGGACTCGTTTCAACCGACCGGCTCCGAAAGGGCCTATTGTTTTATGGGCGTGTAACTTTTGGACCGTTGTTGCAATAAAATAAGGGTCTAGCTAGCTGTATTTTTAATTTATCTTTATTGCGACACTGTAAAGTAATTCATAATTTTGAAAGTACAATTCCAAAAACTGATCAAAAAATACGTTTATCCTGTTGAATTCTAACTATGTTGTTTATTTCAATACCTTTAAGTATGTCAAGAAGTTAGCAAAATTGGAATAAATAATACTGCAGAATTTCTTCTAAGTCTTAATTAATTCGTGCTAAGTACAAATTGTGTTATTTAGCAATCAATGAGGAAAACGAATATTACAAATCTTACTTCTTACTAATATAATAAATGCAAAAGTTCAGAAGGATAGAAGGATGGATGAATGGATGATTGTTAAAAAGTATGTCCGGACAAGATCAACAGATACTGATGAAATTTGGCTTAGATGTAGAACGTAGTTTGGTAGCACACATGACTACTAATTAAGTACTTTTAATCCCGCACGGAGTCTCGAACGACAGCTAGTTTTTGTATAAATAAAATAAAAGGATAAATACAAATAACACTTTGTTTTAATTTGGAATGCGTGTTTTTCTTTGATTATTTTCGTTTGCTCGATGTTGTAAACGCATACGTCATATCAAGTGTTGCGTTGCATACAGATTACATGAGACCGGTTTACCGGCTGATCTGTTGCTACAATACGGCAAAATACGTCATAGTTTTTTTTACACGTACAGCCGGAACGGGACAGACCTTGTTCTGATTAGCACGTCAATATTGTTTCTTCGTATTAAGTTTTATTATTCAGTGAGTGGAAAATTCATTGCAACTAATTA